TATGTCTGTATGTACGGATTGGCAAAGAGAAGCTTCAGCTGTCCTTGATGCGGCAACTTGATCTTCGTTCCCAATCTAGGCGGTAATGATTGCGATCGTCTGTGCGACAGTACCTAGGAGAAGCCAACACACACACACACACACACACCGGAATGCAGGCAACGAAAAAGAAGAAGAACTACAGAAACGGAAAGTCTGGGGTGGGGGTTGAAAGGGGAAGGTCGTACGATCAGTCAGATATTTACCTGGTGGTTCATCGCGGAGGAGGAGGTGCACTCCTTCGACGGTGTGCTTTCCGTGCTGTTCCCTCTGTCCTCCGCCTCCAAGTTCCACACGTTGATCGTCAAGAAACCAACGGTCGTCGTTTTTGCAGATTTCAAGGGTATCCTCAGTCTAGAATCAGAACGCTCAGTCGGTAATCAAGGCGTTCAGTCGGTAATCAAGGCGCCCAGTCGGTAATCAGAGCGAGTAACGGAAACGAGCAAATCGGCAAAGTTACCTGGGTGTATCTTGAACCGCGTTCAACGTAACGATCGCGCTCCCGATCGGTGTTGCCGTTTGACTCACGCGTTCCCTAACGTCGTACGCGGTTATCCTCACTTTCGTCTCCAATGTCAGCCCGTCGCTAGCTCGGAAGCTGACAGTTGTTAGAAAACCGGGATTGCTGCTTCGCTGTAACGTACGAGGAGATAGAGAGAAAGAAGAGGCGCCAATCGATCTGAAAGTACTTACCTCCACCACCTCCGTTCGCGCGTACTTAATCCAGGTTTTCGAACACCTCACCTGCACATCTACTTCTAGAACCGGATTAGGTGGCCGGCCGTGGCCGTCGCAGAGGAGATTGTCGCACGCCAACGATATCTCGCATATCGGTATTTCAGCAGGATCTGAGAGACAAGTGTCAAGTTTCAGAGAAAATAGACTCGACAGACGTCTATCTAGATGTATATTATTAAAAATCACTGGAATATCTACAAATATAGAAAGTTTCTAGAAAAGATTAAAAATCGATCGGTTCGATATAGCGTTGCAGCGTTAACAGAAAGGAAGAAGGCTGTGAAAGGGCGGCGAACCTGCCGAAATTCCGCGTTGCAGTCGTAGCATTTGGATGTCGGTGTCGTGTTTGTGGCCGCTGAACGCCTCTATGCGTTGTTGCAGCGCCAGCAACTGACTTCGCATGCATTCGTAGCTGGCAAGCTGAAGAGCCTGCAACCAACTGTCCCTCTCCTCGGCCGAGTTTGCACCCAATGCTTGGAACAAACCTCCGTCGAACACTGAAAAAGCAATCCTATTAGGTAAATAAATACGGTAGCTTTTTCGAAGAGAGAGAGAGAGAGAGAGAGAGAGAG